AGTTTTAACTCTTTCCTCTGTATTTGAGCAATCCGAAGGTAGGGATTGTCATAGGCCTGAAAGAACCAATAACGCCTCAAGCTAAGAAAAATATATATTTCACACAACGATGATTGAAACACTTACGTGTCCGTGACCATCTCCGTCCTCTCCACCATTCGCATGGTTGCTCCTAGTTTTGCTCAAATGTGATTCATCACTATTCTCCTTCTTTTCGCTTTCCTAAATTGCTAATATAGAAACGCAATCAAGAATTTAGCTAGAGAAGAAGATTAGAAAAAAGTATACACCTCCTCTTCGTCATCATCATCACAACCCTTTTCCTTCATTTCATCTGATCTCATGCATGACATGAACGGCCGAGCTTCTGGCATCGGATTGATGACTAAAACATCATTATTACTAAAGAAAGGACAATGTTTCAAAATAGCAAAAAAAAGCAAAGAAAGAAAGCATTATATGCTGGACTGGATTTTATAAGCAACTCAACTGTGCACGTAACCGGAATACGTTGAAGCATCATATTCATTTCCGTTTCAGCAACCTCTTCAAGATCACCATCCGATAGAACGTCCTCGCTTTCACCATCAGAATCCTCAAAAATCATAGCATATTTAGTCAACGGACATATAGGAAGATGTTTACCTCATCACTATCTACTTCAACTCTGTCAGAATATTTATCTTCAATTATTCCAGCTTTTATAGCTTCCAATCGCTGCTTTTTGAAATCTCGCTCACGTTCTTGATCACGGAGCTGAAAAATTTAGTTTGTGCGATAAGCCTGAGAGTACTTATATGCAAGAATCAGGGGCAAACTGAAGTGAGTATATCGAAGCGATTAATAACTTGACTCAAAACTCTAGTCTATTATGCAGAAATATGGACTTATTCTTGAGATGAACATATAGTTCTATGCAAAAAGGGTAGCATTGCGACAACCAGATAACTTTGAAAGGCGACCTACGTATTGCTTGGCTTCATTCCGAACTTTTGATTCAAACTGAGGAAAAAGCGTAGTATACGCGTGCATGCACATCATATAGTTTATAAGTGAACGCTCCATTTCTCTTCGACGCTGAGCAGCCGTTTTCCGTACCGCTTCGTAAGTGAGGTCAGGTTCTCCAGATATCTATAAAGAACATAAAAACTTTGAAGAATTATACAACCAAAAAATACATATATGAAAACACAAGCAGTAAAGCTGGAAGTTAACATATCTAAGATAGCTTAATGTGAAATGACTCCTAAAAACTACGGGGACAATCGATTTTCAACTTAAACTTTCGAATTAGTGCCCAATAGCATGTCATGATTCTTTTATATCATACCCAAAGTGAAGAGATATATAATGACAACAGATCAATATCTTACGATTCTTGCAAGAAACTTACTAGTATTTTTTGTGTACAACATGTGCCTAAAGCATGTCTAGCAACTTATGTTCTATTCTCTGCTTGTTTGCTATGAAAATAGTGAAAAAATATCCAAAGGAAAACATATTAAGTATCTTCAACTAACGCTATCAGCATACCCCAAGCACCAAGTAAACATTGGCAATTCGCACTACAAGGATGATTGTGGATGTTTGAAGCAGAGATCTATGAGGCACAGGCAATGCTCACTCAGCACCATCGTCAGTATGGTTAAATAAAAAGGTTTCATCTTTTTAGCCCAATCTCTCCAAACAGAAGCGCAACGTGAGTAATTCATAACAAATTATCATATGCTGTATGCCAAAATTCTACAAAACCTCTGTATGGATATAGGTGTGTGGCTCTGGAAATGCAGGAAAAAACTCATGGACGTATGGTGGGTGGGGTCGTGACTGACCAACAAGCATAGGAGGAAGTATGGGTGGTTCTTGGCGCTCGCGAGCTGGAAACAAATCCTACTTTCGCAAGAAAAGGAAACAAAATTATTTGAGAAATAGAAACTCACGTGGTGCGATAGCTATCGTTCCAGTAACACGAAGATGGCGTAAATAAGCAGGAAGTTGATCCAGCTTGTGACCTAAATCGGCCAACGCCAGCCACACGTCGCTTGCTATTGCTATATTCCGGCCAGCAGCTTCACAATTCAACTTGGCACCGATGCTGATAGAGCAAATGTCTAAAAACACAAATTACATTCAAAGAAAACAAAACATTAGATTGCGCAGCCACTGCAACTCATTCAGAATGAAAAGAACAGCCGAAACGTACAAGAGTCACCAAACTAACAATTTTTCAAACGTTGAGCCAATGTTTCCAACATGTTCGCGTCAATTGTATCAAAACCAACAGAGGAGCAAATGGCAGCAACAGACTGTCTGATTACTTGATCATAGGGATCATCTTCCGGCCAGCACTCTGGAGGAATGTCGCTATCTCCTCTGCAAAGAGAATGTAAAGGTTGTAAGTATGTGA